ATGGGTCCCCAGAGGGGCCCGGAGGCCGATTTTGAAACGGACTCGGGCCAGGCGGGAGAGCCGCCCTCGTCTCAGCATCCCCACTCCTGAGAAAAGAAGGAGGGCGGAGGTAAGGAGACCCGCAGACGGTCGATCCGTATCAGGAGGACGCTCGAGCAAGGATGCAAGGGCCCTGGAAGGCCATCTGCCAGCGGGGCGCGGCCGACGAGAGTGGCCAAGGAGGGGCCGAGGATGCAAGGATGCAAAGGATGCACCGAGGATGGACCGAGGGCACCCTTTTGGGACGGCTGCCCATCCTTACCGTGCGGGTTGGCTGCAGGGCCCCGGTGAGGGAGCCAAGAGCTGCCGTACCCCGGGGCGCCACTGCTCAAAGGGCCCCGGCCTCCGGCACGCGCCCCGGTCTCTCTGCGCACCCACCCGGATGCCCTGGACGGCCTCCGCCGCACTGCTGCGGGGCACCACGCGTTCGGGACGGAACGGGCCGCGGACTCGGGAAAGCAGGAAAAGCGGCCGCGGAGGAGGAGGCGGGGGGGCGGCACCCCCGGTACACGGAGTGCTTCACGTGCGGTGCTGCGGCGGCCTCGGGCAAGGCCCCCGACACAACAGAACGCTCAAGCTCGGCATCAAAAAAAGGTGCAAGGGGAGGGTGCAAGGCCCTGCGGGGCGGAGGTGCAAGATGCCCCCCCAGACCGAGGAGCCAATCCCCCCGGGGCAGCACCCCGCCCTGGAAGGACAGACTGGGGCAACCTGGGGCCCACCATTACCGACATGTGGCTTCCGCTGGGTTCCGCCTGCCCTCGGTCGGCCTCCGCAGGCGGAGCCGCCCCCGTGCGGCCTCCGCCGCCGTCCGCGCCGGCCCTCCGCCGAGGAAGAGACGTCAACGCGTCGATCCCTTGGAGGCGCTGCCCTCTCTACAAGTCGGCTCATGCTCCACGAGACAACGCTGCAATCGGGCCGCGGGGAACCTGCCCAAGCACTCCAAAAGTTGAAGCTAGCGCATCGAGGTGCAAGGCGGGGAGGCATCCAGCCAAGAACGCAGTGCGCCCGTCAACTCTGAAGGGGCCGCTCAACAAAGAGGTCCCAACGCTCCTCTCAACTTCGCAGTGGCCGCTCAACGATGACGCACAGTCAACATCTATCCGCCAGCGTCGCGTTAATTGCGGCCAGGCGTGTAGAGCACATCCAACATCTGCTTGACTCGATTCCAATTCCCCGCGCGGCCACGAGTCACTCCCCTCCCTGGCTCGTCCACGGCTCCTTCCTCCACAGGCCGCTCCGCGACGATGACGCCCCCGGCGCTGACGGGCCCCTCCGGCTCGAAAGAGCACTGCCACAGCGGCTGGCCTCGCAGGCGGTGAACTCTCGCTCGGGGGCCCGGCCTTTCTCAGACAGCATCCCGACCTCTTCCTGGCAGTGGCCCACGCACTTCTTCCAATGCGGCCAGCGAGCGGAGGATGCCGCCACTGCGAATCACTCCCCGCCAGCCGTGCACATCCAGAGTGCTCGCATGTGTTGCTGCCCTCCGTTGAGAGGAGCCGGCGGCACCGACCGGAGAGCGGTGCAGCAAGTAAGGGCCAGCGAGGCAAAATCGCCACGAGATCTAGAGGGTGTGCACCCTGCGAAATGCTTAAGAAATCATGGGTTAAGAAATTCATAGTCTCAGAACTTGAATAAATACCCAAAATTCATATTAAACTTTAGGATTTACATTGAAACATTAAGAATAGTCGAGACTCTGGCCGAAAACTTAAGTTTTCTTGAGCATCGCCTAAGGTGTACCACAACCGTGGGCTGAGGAGCCGACGGACCAGTATTTCCCGCGGACGCAGGCCATCAAAGAGATCTGCAAAACAACCAAGGTTGCTCGGGAACGTCGCGCCCTTCGGAGAGCTGACCGGGGCTTCCCGCAGAAGGAGAACATAACATCTGATTTGTCCATTGCAAGAAAAGGCTGCGAGCCAGCCGCTGCAGGCTGACAATGAGGACATACTTGCCAAGCGGTTGGCAACCTGTTGTTAATGTGAAACGTAGCATACTAACACGTGGCAGCTTGATATGGCCGGTACGCTATGAATTACGTGTGAGCTCGGAGTACGCACAGGAAGACCCCAATCATGTCGTCAACGATCCTTGCGGTCAAAAAGGTGACACATAACATGTAACGTGTAAGCTACGAGCAACCAGTGCTAAGCACTTTCACGCACACTCACAAACAGGACTTCTAACCATCACTGCGTTGCTGCCTGCACACATTTGGGATATGCTCTTCCAACGTCTACTCTCAACTTGGAAGGACTCGTCGAGCACGCAAAACCGCAACACCGAATAATTCGCCTGAGCCAGGTATGACATGGACATACGTTTTCAACAACATGATCCATCAATTGCAAGTGTGCTGCCCATGGATCCCCGCTGAGTGAAGTGTGTTGCAAGAGCACGGCTGGAAACTCCTCATGATCCAGCGCGGCGCGCATCTCGGGTACGTACCGGCAACGCGTACATCAGCATGGCCAACAGGCCGAAGGACTCCGCCGATGAACTCGAAATGAAGCCAAACGAGAAAGGCATCGCAGGCCTCCGACTCCAGCCAGCCTCTGCTCAGGCTGTTCCTTGGCCATCGCACCCAGTGTGGTCACCCAAACAGGTCACTTTGTGCACCTGAGGATGTCCCGCAGGGGTCTCCCGCAGGGCCCCTGCGTCCCCGAGCATATGCAGTGGGTCCGTGTCGTGTCAACGCGGGCGGCCACCGCGGGCTTCAGAACGGCCCGACAAACCAAGTCGGTCCTCTTTTCAGCGTCTTGACTGTCAAGCGGCATGGTTTCAAGGGTCGTCCATGCGGCATGGGCCGTTTGGCACGGCTTTGCTGACCATGGACTGCGAACGCTGGATCCTTGACGGCACAGCCTCCGCGCGACCAGCTGGCAAGGAACCGTACATTACGTCTGTTGTGTGGCAGAGAGGGAGCAAGTAGCCAATACCAATACACGATTTCCGATGCGTCGACTCAACGTACCCCCGCGAAGCACACTGATAGCAGCAAAGGCGAAGACGCGGGTGAAGGCGTAGGAGGTCGGCGAGTGAGACCTGGGATTCCTCGGCATTCCCATGGACTCCTCCGCAGGATGCGTCGGGGACAGGGGTGGGAGCACGGCCACGGGCACCTGAACTCGGCGGTGGACAAACCTCCCTTCAGTAAACCTCCCCTTAATGAAAACGGCCTGGGCCGAAACCGACGGACCTGGACCCGCAAAAAGGACGGCCGCGACGCCCTCTCGCGAACCGAAAGCGGCCAATTCCTTAATCGACGTGTCAGGGTAGGAGGTCCACCCACCTCCGGTTAACGCATGTGTTGTCAGAGGATCGTGGCCGTCCGGACCCCTCGTGCAGCCGGCAGTGGGGCGAAGGCGCGGTGCCTCAAGAGACTGCGGGCGAAACGGCTGCCGGGCTGGGCGGCCCGGGGCTCCCCGTCCCCCCCGTGGGACTCTGCAGTGGTCCTTGCTGCACCCGTGTGCGAGCCAGCAGATGGACAAGATGTCCGAAGCCTTGCACATTCGAGGGAGATTCCGAATCACCCCCGCGCCCCCGACATCAACGTTGATCTCAGTAAAGGCGGTGCTTTGGGGCTCGAATATTCCTGTCCACTCACGCTCCCCCCGTCGCCACGCCATCAATATTGACTTCGGGGGGTCTCGGGGGCACAGTGGGCCAAAGGGTTCGCATGTAATGTCCATGCACGGGCCCTCCAGCGAAGCGCCGTTCGAGAAACAGGCGCTCTCTCTCTCTCTCTCTCTTGCAACATCGACGTGTACCCTGCCCCGGCAGGCCGTCGTCCATGAGGCAGAACGAGTTCACCAGGTCGAGCAGCGGCACCGAATAGGAAGAATGGCACACACAAGCGAAGAGGACCGCAAACTTAGGCGTTCGCAAAAGATAGAGTCGGAGTACCAACTTACTGAGGCTTGGTCCAGAAATACATGTCCAACGCGTAGTTCTCGCCTGAACGCCGCGTACACTCGTCTGTAGCATGGCAACCATTTCACGGATGGAGGGCGGCTCCTTTTCGAAATGTGGCTCTCGCCTTCGCGCCGCGCATATCGCATTCAGGGCTTACAGCAATTTCAAGGGCTCCCATGGTTGAGGTCCCAGCAATGGTGCTGTGGCATGATGTCGGCTGATTCGTGGTGTTGAAGTCACAAAAACTGTGTTCTGCCACGGCTCAAGATCGGCAAGTCACAAGAATCACAGTGATCCGTGGGGTTGGATTCCCAAGGATGGAGTTCTGTCAGAATTCCGGATGTTCAAGCGGTCGTTCTACAACGGGACATTTCCTTCAGTGATCATGAAACCTTGCAAGGGCATATGAAAACGGAACTTGGAGGGAGGGTTTATTGCAACATAGTTGGTGAGGCTTGGGTTTTCATTGGTCCCCCTCTTCCACCTCGGCTTCCTCCTCCTACCTCCTTCCTCACCCTCGCCTTCCACACCCTTCCCCCTACCCCCGCCTTGCGTAGGATGATTGTTGGGAGGGAAGCGTAAAGACATACGACGGAACAGCAACAAACATGTCCTGCCGCTGGGATCCCTGACTGAACATACGATCGAACAAATCCAACTGCGACGATAACGAGCCCACGATCATGCCTCGAAGAAATTTCACCAATCATTGTTCAGAGCGCGGCTGCGTGGTGCCACGCTCCCCAACGTGTCGCAAGCGCCATCATGTACCATTCTCCCCTTTGAGATGCAAGGTGCGGGGGATCATAATTATCGGAACGGCGGCCGGAAAAGAGAGAATTTCTGGCAAGTGCGGGCACGAGAGCCAGCTCCATGTCAGGCTTCCCGGCGCGGAAAGTGAAGGTCCTCGAGTCGACGATGACCTGGGCGAGGACGCATGCGGTTTCTCCTTCTTCGAAGGAGGCGAGGGAATAGGAGGAGGACGACGAGTAGGAGGAGTATGAGAAGGAGGAGGAGGAGGGCTGGGCGACGAAAGCAGGAACCGATCACTTGCACAAGTGCACCTCGGTCCTCGCCCCTGGCCACCCCAATACCTCTGACTGTTCCCCTCTTTTGTCAGATAGGGCAGTGGGGTGTGCGAGGTTGACATGCGCGCACGCATGAACTCTCGACGTCGCCGCTGCTCGCAGAAGGGAGGGCGGGGCGCACGAGGGCTTGGGGGCCCCCTGAGATCTGGCCGAACTCGGGGCGGCCCCCCCAAACCGTCACCCACGGCATCCCCCTGCGCTAATGCACAACATCGGCACGTCGACCTGCGCCCATACAGGGGGGCTCTGGATACCCTGATTCCCGCCCCCGAAAGAGCATCGCTCGTAGACGAGCGCGTTCCACTACTCTCGCAAAGCGACTGCTCGCAGATGCTCTACGATACATTACATCGAAGAAGACATGTGTTTTTGTTCAAGCGTTTGCGAGTAGGCACTTTGGGAGTAATGGACCGCGCTCGGTGATCTTGGGGAGGAGGGGGAGGAGGAGGAGGAGGACGAGGAGAAAAAGGAGGAGGAGGAGGAAACGGAGGACGCATCTCTTGTTTCCACCAGCCTTCCGCCGGCCTTCCGCCGGCGGAACCGCCCTTGCGCTTTACTCCCGCCAGCTTCCGCAGGCCTTCCGCCGCCCTCCGCCGAGGAAGAGAACATGCCAAGCCTTTCGGGCCTCGGAGGCGGCGCCCTCGCTCTCTGGAGCTCCTGGGATGCGTAGCCGTCCCCCCGGCCGATGGATGCAGCGACAAGGGAGATTGACTTCCTACCAGACCACCCCAGCCTAACCCGAAGACCCGAACTTCGGGTTGGGGGGGGTGCGGGTCCCACATGTGTTTTTGTTCGATGTTCCCCGACCCCCCCCCCACCACCACTGGAAAAGGAGGGCAACTCGGGGCCTTCGGGTTGGGGTTGGGGTGGCTTGGTGGGCGGCGAGAGGTGGGACGCCGGGAGGCGGGATGCAGAGACCAATGGGGGGGATCCTGGATGCCACCGCCAGCCGGCGTGCCAAGGGGCGCGCGTGCCCGCCTGGGGCGTCTGCGCCGATTGGGGCGTCCCCTGGGTTCTGTCGGCCGAGACGCGTGCGATGTCCAGCGCCGTGCCCCGAGATTCTCGCGCCGCGAACAGATCACGACGGGAGAACATCTTTGGCAGTTTTCGGCCTCCGGGGGGGCCCCAACGAGCTCCGGGACCGTCAAGAAACGGCTCAGGATGTGCAGATTGGGCTCCTGGAGTGATGGACCTGTTTTCCACCACCACCACCATGAACTTGAGGCGGGAAGGAGGAGGACGGAGAGGAGGAGGAGGAGGAGGAGGAGGAGGAGGAGGAAGAGGAGGAGGAGGAGGACCCCCTCCCCCTCCAACTTATGGTGGTGGTGGTGGAAAACAAGCCCGTCATGGAGAGGGGCGGGCCGAGGACGGACCACGGCCCACTTCGCCTCCGCGAGGCTCGCCGCGGCGCCCGAGGCCACCAGGGCCTCGGCGTGGGAGCGCCCGTTGCGCAGGAACTCGGCGGCGAGCATGCGGCCTCGGCGGGACCGCGGGTCGGGCGAAGAGAACTATGCACATGCACCGATCCTGACAACGTTTATTCTTGACCCTGGATCGGTGCATATACCTTCCTGGCCAAGGTAAGAGGGCGTATGCACCGATCCGGGGCTCAGGATGGGCCTGGCCAGAACCGGTGTATGTGCATAGTTCTCTTTCTTCTACGCGGGGGGGGGGGGGGGGGGGGCGGAAGCGGGAGCGAGCGGGCGAGCCAGAAAACAGAAACGAGGGAGGGAGATCCGGGAGGACGAAGCATAGCGAGAGAGAGAGAGAGGGCGTGAAAGAGAGACAGAGAGAGAGAGAGAAATACACAAGAGAAATAATCGAAGTTAGACATATGACAGAAAGAGAAGCAAAACAAAACAAACGTGATATAAAGAGAGAGAGAGAGAGTGAGAGAGAGAGGCAGGAAGACAACATAATCAATCGAGACATTCGAAGGATGGGAAACCAATTGGGCAGAAAGAGAGAGAGAGAGAGAGAAGAAACAAAAACATTGAGAAGAGAGAGGAGGAAACGGAGCGGAGCGGACTGGAACGCGCCGAGTCCGCTCGCCGGCCAGGCGGCCAGCAGGCCCCCGAGAGGCATCGCGGGTGGGCAGGGGCGAGTCCGCAACACATGCTGAAGGAAGGTCTTAGCTGCCCCGGTACGCAACACGCACCACGCAATGTACTGATACGTAGCTCAACACGTCGACACGGAGACTGAACACGTAAGTATGACGCAATACGTTCGCCAACACGTGGGCCAACACGTGCCGAGCCAACACGCACCGTGTTAACACGGACGCTTTGAACACGAGATGCCTTGCGTTTCGGAACGGGCGTACCAAGGCAGCTAAGGTGTCTAATTTTCCCGTTGTATGTAATCGCTTGCACCATCCAGCCAATGTTTGGTGTCCCACCGACCCACCGATGGTGTCATGCATGACCTTTCATATGTCGTCACGCCACATTGCCCTCCATTTGTTCGCTGCGGTGGTCGGGTGTCGTGGACTTCTGGGGATGCAGATACTCATGCCCACTTGAGGTGCGATTATGTTGCTGCTCGCTCTGCCCATCACAAGTTGCGTTTGTAGTATAGTGTCGCCCACTCGTCTACGCGAAAGCGGGCGGCGAGATCTGTAGCCGCATGTGTGGCGCTGAGACTGTGCTCCTCCCACGGCTCGAGGCCCAGAACGTTTTCGACTTTGTCAAAATCAAACTGTCTTCTGGCGTCGATCGCGCTGTCACTGGTGATGCCGCAGGTTTGTGCAGAGTCGGGGTGGCCATCGGTGTCAGCTGTTGCGTTCTGCGAGGTGCTTCCCTGGCGCCCAGGAGTGTTGCACGTCGTAGTGTCCAGAGCAGGCCCATGGTAAGAGCCCACGAAGCGCGGCCGTACATAACAATCGGCGTCACAACGCCGCTGACTGGCTGGAACCTGCTGTGAAGCGGGTGTCGTTCGCTCGTTGATTCGTCGCGCAGTTGGTTGCATTTGCGTAGCCGCATTGCGGTTCAGTCAGCCAAGACGGTGTGGTGAAAGTCGTGGAGGGTAAGCTTCTGGCTAGGATACTTCGGGCTCTGCTTGTCGCTAGGGATTTCGACTCTGTCGCCGTCGATATCCACTGGCGAGATGTCGCCGCAGGCTCAGGCTTACATTCGTCAAGGCTTTGGTCTTGTCTGGATGCAAGTCGAACCCACATGTTGGAGCTGGTTGCTTGAAGTCGCGGAGTAAACAATTCGAGTATCTTCACTCGTGTGCTACTAGAAGGACATCGTCGACAAATCGCAAGTTTTTAACCAATGTATATCTGGTGCACCCCAATGTAATACCAAAGCCCGTTCTTACCCATATTGGTTTGAACTGCCAGCGCGTGCTGGCAGATCGCGTGGAACTTCCCACAGGCATCGATGGTATACACAATCGAACGCCACCTTGGAGTCTACCGCGGCTCTCCTCAGATTTTGTCTGTTTCTCATTGGACTGCTAGGAAAGCATTGTCGCAATGAGTAGGTGATCCTCTGTGCAGAGAACTTTGCGTAAGCCAGCTTGGCCAGGTGATTGTTGTGAGTTGACCAGCGCCTGAAGTCTGTTGCGAAGCAGCTGGGCCTTCGTTTGAAAATCAGCGGTATGATGGCAATTGGTCTGTAATTCTCGGGAAACTGCGGGGTTATTAGACTCGAATCCGGCGCTGATTGTAATACCTATCCATTGCTCCCACGGTGCCTGCTCGGGGGCCATGGTCACAGAACTTCAATGGATGCTGTTCGATCCCCTCCTGGTTTCCGAAATTCCCCAATAAGACCTGCCGTGTCCTTGCACCGTCCGTTTTTGACTTGCTTCTCCGCTTGATGTAGCCCGTCGAGGGTGAAAGGGAATGCTCTGCACAAGGCTACTTTTCTCGTTGTCAATAGCGCCGGGGCAAAACAACATCGGGAGGGTACCGGTGCAAATGTTCGTCGACATTGTCTGCCGTTGCCAGAGCTGGTGCGAAGTTCTTCTCATTGCTGGCCTTGATGCCAGATATTCTGTTGAAGCCGCAAAATCGAGTATGATCTCGTTCAGCGCCGCCTTCCGCTGAGCTATCTTGACGGCTTGGTGCTGACGTAGAATACGTTTGCTGGCAACTGCCTGTGAGGGTGTGTTGCTGATGCGTTGAGTGCTCATGCGTTGCGTGATGAGGTCTTGTAACTTGTAAATGCCGCCAGGTTTCGTCGTCGATGAAACCAGAGCCCTGATGCTGTCGCCATGCATGCTGGAGTTGTGTGTATATATATATATATTAAGATCTGTCTATATGTGTTGGTGTTGCTCTGTGTAGGCTGCTTTGCGTGCCACTTCAGTGCGTGTGCAAGCGTCTTGCGGTCCGCTTGGTGGGCGGTCGATCGTCAAGTGCTCTCCCAAATGGCGCTGGACATCGGAATCGTTGGGTCGCAGTGGCTGGTGAACGTGCTCGAGGAGAGGAGGGGAAGAGAGAGAGAGAGAGAATATTCAACACATTGGCGTGCGCAGAAAATAGAGAGCGATCGGTAGATACCAATGCATATGTACACATACCTGTCTATATGGTAGCACGTGCGTGTCCAGGCTGGTACGACAAGCAAACTGGGGGTAACTGAAAACGGTTACCGCAGCTTGCGACGATACGGAGTGTTGATGAACCCCCCTGTGGGCACCTCTGTCCAACATCACAGCTTTCCATTATATGCTGGAAGGCTCTACCAAACATGCTGAAGAACTACACTGGGAACCATTGAACAAACAAGCGTTTCCCGACATGTGCAGAGTCAGTGGGTCCAAAGTGAACTTGAAGGTTCTAGGTTAACCTGTTCAAAATCTGATGCTTTTTGACCCTGACGTCGCGAAATGCGTGAAGGCGGCGCCCGAATTTCAGAACTAAGAGGGCGCCCAGTGCGAACCGGCCAGTAATCTCGCGTCCGGAAGGCGCAATAATCGCCTCTGGTTGGGCTTTTCTCCCTCGGACAGGCCTGTATGACAACATGCATGAACACAGATATGCAGATGTAGACGTGCAGAAAGAAAGAGCAGTGGAGAGAGAGAGGGAGAGAGAGGGAGAGTGGAAGAGAGATGAGGGAGAGGGCTCCCTCCTCAGCCTCCTCGCTCTTGGGCTCCTGCTTCTCTTTCCCCCCCCTGTCTCACCGCTCACCTTCTCGTGCCCTCTCCTCACTCGGTCCTTCACCCCGCCTTGCCTCCTCCTCCTCCTCCTCCTCCCCCTCCTCCCTCCTCTCTCCCTTCTCCCTCTCCTCCTCCCCCTTCCTCCTCCTCCTCCTCCTCTCCTCCTCCTCCCTCCTCCTCCTCCTCCCTCCTCCTTCCTCCTCCTCCTCCTCCTCATCCCCTCCTCCTCCTCCTCCTCTCTCCTCCTCTCCTCCTCCTCCTCTCCTCCTCCTCCTCTCCTCCTCCTCCCCCTCCTTCTCTCTCCTCCTCCCTCCTCCTTCATCCCTTCCCCCTTTTCTCTGCTCAATACGCCGCCCTCCCACCCTGCCCCTCATCACCCCATTCCCCCCCCCTGCTGCCCAGACCCCCTCCTTCACCACGTCCCTGCTCCCCCTACCCCTCCCTGCTGTGATCAAACAGACATCTCGTGACATGTAGGTGGAGAAGTAGATGGCAACAGTAGGTGGAAACATGAAGTAGGTGGATCGGAAGAAGTAGGTGGAAACATGAAGTAGGGAGGCGGATCAAGTGGATTGGGTCCAGGCCCTCCCAGAGAATAACAAAGCACAGCAAAAGCATGTCGATTCTTGAAGTAGGAAGGCGCTTGAAGTAGATTGGGATCTGGGAATCCAAAAATACCTACTTTCAACGACCGGCGTGTATGGTTGCCAACGTGGGCGCGAAGCAATAAGGTAACACGATGGGTGCTTAAGCCACCTGGCGCAACTCTGTGACCATCTGGTGCAGGCTACTTGGTGCAGGATACGTGGTGCAAACAAAATGCTGCAGGCTCTGCGGCGCAAGCTGCGTGGCGCAGGACATGCGGCGCAAGCTATGCGGTGAAGGCCACCGTATGTGGTGCAATAAGTGGTGCAAGATGTGGGGCACCAGCTATGCATTGCAAGTTCTGCGATGCACGCTGTGTGGTGCCGCGTTTGTATTGCCAACTCACGAACTGTCAACTCCACTGCTCACGCAATCCTCCCACCCTCCAACCCGGAACTTGTTTCTCAAAACACATGCGGCCGCGACTGCGATGACTGCTTGGCCCTGGCCTTGCACAACCGGTGTGGCCGCGCTGGGGCTTACCGATAGCATTTCCCCAGCGCGTCTCAAAAGCCGTGCGGGTGCGCGGACACTTCAATGCGGGTCGGAGGCTCGGGCGGGTTCCAGGACGACATTGGCCTCGGCGGCAACGATTGTGATAGTAGAGACGGTGGTGGCGATGATGACGATGACGACGGCAAGGCCAATGACGGCGGCTGTGCTGGTGACCACGATGATGATGATGGTGATGTTGGTGATGGTGATGCTGATGTCCATGTGTCAAAGACGAAGGTGCTCAACTGATTATGGTTGCGATGGCCGCGATGGTCGGTGACCATGACGTGATGCGGCGCTGGTGAGGGTGCTGGTGAGGACGTGCGCGTGCGCGGAAACGCAGGAATCCGACAGACGGTTGGCAAAGACAAAATGGTGCTTAAAATATGCCGTGGGACTCCCATGGACAACCATCCTGGGAACATGTCAAAAGAAACCCTCCAGATTTGAAGAATGTGTGTTCACTTCGGCGTTGCCTCTTCTTCCTCGTCAGCATCCCCCATCCTCCTGATTAGCATCTTCATGATTATCCTCCTCCTCCCTCCTCCACATGCTTTTCTATTGCGACGGATGGCCCCAAGTCGTCAACATCACCCTTTCCCTGCTCCTGTTCTGTCTCCCCTCCTCCTCATCGTGCTCTTCGCCTTCCTCCTCCAGTTCGTTTTCCACATCATCCTGCATTTCATCTTGCCCCGCCTTCTCTTCTGAGAGGCTACGCATCTACTCTTTGTGTGAAGGGTTCGCAGGTTAGCTCCTGCTGTGGAAAACTTACACTTGGCGTCCTTATGGGAACGGCGGAAACCTGACCAACCTAAAAACAACCAACAAAGAAACCAACGGCGGATTGCAGAACATGTAAAAACAAGCTTAAGGAAACACTGTCAACAACAACAAAGCAGCACAACCATTCACTACTCACTCCACTGTCAGTGCTCCACTGCCCTACTGTCCTTTCTCACCGTTCCGACCCCACCCCGTCTTTCACTCCTCCTCCTCCTCCTGCCTCTCCTCCTCCTCCTCCTCCTCCTCCTCCTCCTCCTCCACCTCCTCTTCCTCCCTGCCATGGCCCATGGAGGGGAGCAGAGAGGGGGTGAGGAGGGGAAGGAGGGGGAGATGAGGGGGCAGGAGGGAGGAGGAAACGCGAGGAGGAAGAGAAAGAATAGAAGGCGAAACATGAGGAGTACGGTACGGAGGCCAGGGAAGAGGGATGAGGAGGATGAGGAGAAAAAGGGAGGAAAAGCAGCAGCAGGAGGAGGACAGGTGTAAAGGAGGAGGCAACGGATTACGCAGCAGGAGGAGGAGGAGGCATACTCCCCACCATGTTTCGCCCTTGCCTCCTCCTCCTCTTCCTCGCGTTCCCTCCTCCCTCCTGTTCCCTCGTCCCCCCCCCCCCTCCTCCTTCTCACCCTCCTCTCCCTCTCCTGCTCCCCTCCACGGGGCAGGGCAGGGAGGAGGAGGATGGGGAGGAGAGGATGGTGAACAGAAATAAAGGGCGGGGAGGGGGTGGTGGGATTCAGGATGAAACGGGAATAGCGGGGGGGCATCAGGGCTGTGGAACAGTGGGATAAGTCATGACAGATGCATGTTTTTTTTTGTTTTGTTTTATTAACCATTCGGTTATGCTTGAAGATGGTATGGTTGGTTTACTTGTGTCCTTGGCTTGTCCTTGGTTGTTGTTTTGTTTCCCGCCGTTCTCCTAATGAGTATAATTTCAAGTTTTCTAGAGAATCACGTTGCACACCCTCCACACGAGGAAAACCACGTGGGAGAAAGAGGAGGAGCAGGATGATGAGAAAGTCGGCATGGAGGAGGGAGGGAAGTAACAATCTGATGAGGAGGGAGAAAAGCGGAGGCGCGGCTAAATTTGAACCACCTGTTCCAATCTTGGAGGGGGGGGCTTCCTGTGAATTTTCTAAAGGGAGAGATAGAGAGAAGGAGAGTGGTCCACAAGAGTTCCAAACCGAAGTGTTGTTGGGGAGCTCAACCTCGAGATGTTTCAGCGCCTATCGTTTTGAAAAGGTTTCGACACGCGCGCGGGGCGTGGCGGCCCGCGCGTGTGGTCCGCATCGTATCATGTGATACGGATTCGTGCACTGGGCGCATGTTGGATCAGCGCCGATGCGCCACGTGGTAGTACGAGAGTGCGAGTTCTGGACGACACTGCTAAAGCACATGGTTGCCCGAAGATTTCAACAAATCCGCGCTGGCAGGCCATCTGCCAGATCTGTGATGGAGCACACAAAAGATGTACACATGTGCTCTCTCTCTCTCTATATATATGTTTATGTATAGATATGTGTTGAAACGCATGCAAAACGGAAATGTTGTGGTATGATCTCGACATCTACTCGCGCGTGTGAACTTCACGCATGTTATACAAAGGGTTCTTCATACAATATCTTTTGAGATGAACGACTGCACGCGTAATTTTGTTTGACCGGGCGAGGGCCGGGCCGATAACTGGTCGCCTGGGATTTATAAACTCAGACGGACCTGAAAGGTCTTTAGACCCCCCCCAGCGGGGGGTAACTAAATGTTTTCTCGGCGGCCTTATTGAAGGACTGGGGATCCACCACTAGGAGGTAACCAACATGTTTGTTCCGCAGCATTCCTGAGGAGGAGGAGGAGGAGGCTGTAGGACCAGTCCGGGTTCACCGCCGGGAGAAAGGCGGGGGACCAAAACGAACGACCTTTTGCGTTCAGAGCTCATTATTCCGAAGCCGTGGTGCAACCGACACGCGAGGCGGGGACGAGCGGCCACAGCACGAGCTACGCACGAAACTCCCCAAAAACATCGGCCACCACGTGGGGCGCCCACCGGGCACCCACGGGCGTCCACAGCCCCCACCGAGCAAGAAACCCATAATGGCCAGTCTCGGCGGCGAGCGAGGGAGAAAAGAATAAGAAGAAAGCCTTCTCAGAACGCGGCGGGACTTCTCAGAAGCCCTCGCGCCTTCTGAGAAGTTGTCCGTGTCTTCGGGGAAGGCCTAGAGAACTTCTCAGAAGGCGCGGGGACTTCCGAGCCTTCTGAGGAGGCCCGCCCCTTGTCACTTTCCCCCCTCGCTCGCCGCCGACTTCGTAAGTGTAAGAACTTGGTCCTTTGAGAGGTCCGCGCGGAGTTCGGAAGTCGGCGCGGGACCCCTCCCGACCACGGCGACAGGGCGCGCCATCGGAGGCGCCAGACACGCCGCCAGGCGGGGTCCAGCACCGACCGTGAACTCCGCGCGCGCATCCGAACGTGTTTGTTTACGACGGCAGGTGCTTCGTCCTCGATGCTGCCCACGAACAAGACAACTTGCCCACGGCAGCGTGTCGCGGCGGCGGCCCTGGCGACCCGCTATGCCCTGCAAGCGGATAGCGTGTCGCCCCGGGGGGCGTGGTCAGCGTGCCACGCCGAAAAGCGCGGTGGGCCAGGACTGGTGGAGCGATACCCTAACCCAAAATTCCCCACCGTATCTGGGGAAACCTAGAAAGGTACCGATACCGCTACTCTCTGGACCTCTCCTGGGGCGCGTTCTGACCAGGATTTCGAAGCGAATCCAGCGGTGGCGACGAGGGCCGGCCAGGAGGCCCAAAAAGGGGAAAACGAGGGAAGGGTAGAGGTATGGGTACCTGTTTCTCCTCTGAATATCCTCTCTTCCCCTCTCCCCCCATTCCTTCCCAACCGCTCCCCCTCGCCCGGGGCCGAACGGAAATCACTACCCTCAACGCTCTCAACTCGCCGCGGGCGCCGGGCTCAGTCGACGGTAGTTAGCATTCGCATAAACGTGTTGAACGACGCGTCGGACTTTCGAACCCCTCCTCCGTCCATCCCCTCCCTCTTTTTCGAAGCCTCCACCAATCGACAAGCGCGTTCCACTACTCGCAAAGCAGCTACTCGCAAATGGCCTAGATCCGCCGCGGCGGATCTACGATTCATAACACCGAGGGAGACATGTTTTTTTATGACGTTTGTGAGTAGGCACTGTGGAAGCAGTGGAACGCGCTCGGTGAACCAAGGCCGCCCACGACGATACCGCACACTAAGACTGACCGCACAGACAGCGAAGTCGAAAACGATCGAAAACGAATCTACCGGGAGCGGCCGAAGGAAGCAACGAAGCGGGAACGACGCCAACCGAGCGAACCGAACCGAACCGAATGCAACCGACCGCGACGCAGCCGAACCGACCGCACCGCGGACACCATTGCAGCAACCCCCTCGTCCCTCTTGCACTCTTTCCCTCTCCATCCTCTGTCATCCACTCTCCCGTCACCCCTCTCTCTGCACACGATGCTCTGGCCCCCATGCTGTAGGCCAGACCTGCTCCCAAGTCGCAGGGTGAGCGCAGGAAATATGTTTTTTTCTGCGAAGCCGTGACAACAGTGCAGCGCGAAACGGTGTCTGGCACGTGCACGGGCCTCAGGTGGGAGCAGGGATAGGTTCCTCCGGCACCAGGAGGTAGGAGCAGGCCGGCTCGATTGTGGCCAAGGAGGTGGTCCTGCCCAAGGTAGCCCTGGCTCCTTCCAGGGAGGCCCAGGCGGCTTCCAGAGCAACTCGTCGCGAGGCCCATCGAGGCAAAGAGGGCCCCACTGGCCGCTGGACCCCAAAGTGGCGCGAAAGGCTGCGCTGTGGACCAGGGACACCTTGTATAACCCGAAGCTGAGGATGAGAACGGGGAGGAGCAGCGGGGGCACGAGCACCAGGAGGGAGGACGCCCGATCTGGAAGAACAGAACAGTGCATGCGCATGTCCTTCCAGCGATGCTGGCGGATAGATCGGGGAGGCTGCGGCAGTGATAAAACATCGCCACTTCTTGCTCACAGCGGGCGCCCCTGCCGCCGCAGGGGCTCCGCTCACGCGGCGGCGCCGGCGAGGGCAGCGAGGAGGGCCCCCGCCGCAGCTGCGGCCAGGCGGAGGCCCGGCCGGACCGCACCGCTGCGGTAATAGTGGGACTTCGCCCTCGCTGGGCTGTGGGACTCGTCGGCCCCGTCCGGGCCCGCTGGCCTGACGATGATCTCCTGGGCGACCTCGTCGGACCCGACGCGCAGCACGATGAGAGTGGTGCCCGCGTCGGCGTTGAGCGTGGCAGTTTGGACGCTCCTCTCGGCCCTGTTCTCCAGGCTGACGTCGTAGGTGCCCTCTGAGGTGACGGAGGAGGGGAACAAAGAGGATGCCGCCCCTGCAGTTGTAGATGAGAGTGAGGGGGGGGGAAGGAAGTCATCAGCAACCTGCGAGGTTTGAAAGAACATGTGAAGAAGTACGCGACGGATGCAGTTTGTTGTTTTGATGAACAGCATGACATAGCGAACCCGCCGAAGGCACCTATTATTGCTCTCGTCAGAGGAAGGTGTCGCGGGTAGGTCGCGGGTGGGTCGCGGGCGGATCGCGGGTGAGTCGTGGGTGGGTCGCGGGCGGGCTGCGGGCGAGGACGACGACAACAAGAACGACGAGATTATCCGCCAGGAACTTTGAAAATTCGTGCGCGTGTTCGTGGTGCTCTCGCGCTCCCTCGCGGTGCTCGTGCTCCCTCTGGTGCTTGTGCTCCCTCTGGTGCTCGTGCTCCCCCTCTGCTGGCCGGACATGTCATCCCACCTGGTGCTCGTACTCCCGCTGCTTCTCCCCGTCCTATTCCTCGTCTCAGCGGGTTGCCAGAGGCGTTCCTGGCCAAGGTGCCTCCCCAGCTCGGTGCGCCAACCAGCGACGCCCCTGAGGCACTTTGGGCCTCGATGGGCCTCGTGAGGGTGCTCTGGAGGCCATCCGGGCCTCCCTGGAAAAGCTGGGGCCACCTTGGGCAGGGCCACCTCTAGCACCACCTGGGAGGAGGAGGAGGAGGAGGAGGAGGAGGAGGAGGAGGAGGACGAGGAGGAGGCTGGAGGAGGAGGAGGAGAAGGAGGAGGGAGGAGGAGGGGGAGGAGGAGGAGGAGGAGGAGGAGGAGGAGGAGGGGCAAGAAGGCAAATACGGTGCGCTCGCACTGCATGTCACATCATGGCTCTGCCACCCGTCCCTTCACATTGCACTGATTCCGTTCTATCCGTCGATTGGGGTACCCTAGAGGACCTTCGTGTTTCAACTTACCCATCGTGTGATGCGCAATCCGACATTCGGGCTTTGTAAATTCGAGGAGGAGACGGAAGAGGCGATCGAGCAGGGCAACGACCAGGAAGAAGAGGAAACTGAGGATGGAGGAGGAGGAGCAGGAGGAGGACGAGGAGGAGCGGGAGAAGCAAGGGGGTCAGTGGAAGGAGGGCGAGGGCAAAGGAGGGGGGCGGCAACAACGAGGAACGAATCGGATGCAGAAGTGTGCCCCGCGCTGGGGCGAGAGTGCCAGTCTGCACGGCGGGAGAGCAGAGCACCGATCCTGGGATGTCGCCGACGCCTGACCTTGGAGGACCGAGCAAGCCCTGGCCTAAGAAGAAAGAGAACAGAGGGCGGGCCAAAGGCAGACAGCACGGGAGAGAGGCTGCGGCCACACAGGCCGGCATGCGGAGAGAGAGAGAGAGAGACATAGAGGAGTCGCTGCGAAGGCGGAGGAGGCAAAGGCTGGAGGAGGCAAAGGCTGGAGGAGGAGGAGGAGGAGGAGGAGGAGGAGGAGGAGGAGGAGGAGGAGGAGAAGGAGGAGGAGGTGGAGGAGGAGGAGGATGGAGGAGGAGGAGGAGGAGGAGGAGGAGGAGGAGGCTGGAGGAGGAGGAGGAGGAGGAGGCTGGAGGAGGAAGCTGGAGGAGGAGGAGGAGGAGGAGGCTGGAGGGCTTCCGCCCCTGATCCTCGGCCAGGGTCACCGCGGAGCCGGGCCGGAGCTCCGCCGCCCCAAGCCGCTGGTTCAGCCTGGCCTGGGCTCCGCCGCCCCCAGCGACCTCGTGGGCCACGCGCAAGACAGGTGGCGACAGCCGAGCCCAGCAGTCGAAACTGATACAGTCGGGCCGAGGTATAAGATCATGATCGGTTCGGGGAGGGTACCCTACTGTTCTTCGTGTTTGTCGGATGCCCTTGTGCACCCTGAGGAGGGTACCCTTGGATGTTCTGTGCGTTTTGGCCGTCGGAGGGTCTCGTGTTCTTGAGGGGTGTTCTGGCTTAGGTCCCGCTGTACAGGCATCAGAAGAAAATAGCGAGCACTCATCCCGCATTCGTCTGTCAATGCCCCCCAGTGATCAGCGTTGGCGGTGAGTTGAACGCGCTGCACTTCGACCGCGGTCTTCCCCGCGCGTGTCAGCATTGAGCTTGGGGTAGCGGGGGAATGCACTAATTGTTTCCTTCGACCGTGGTAAGGATGCGCGACAAGGATGCAAGCCTTTGGACGCCCACGTCGAAGCTATTCGAGCGGAGTTGGCCTCCGATAGGGGTCAACGGTGGACAAGGGATGCAAGGATGCAAGGGTACACTTGGAAAGGTTACCCATCCTTGCCATCGGCTTCGACCCTGACCCCCGGCAGCCACCGGTTCTCCTGAATCGTCGAGGGGAGGCGGGGGTAGGGTTCGGAGTTCGCCCCTTGCTTGGCGAGTTCCGAAGCCTACTGCCGCCGCCCATCGAGTTGCGGAGGAGGAGGAGGAGGAGGAGGAGGAGGAGGAGGACGAGGAGGAGGAGGAGGAGGAGGAGGAGGACGAGGAGGAGGAGGAGGAGAAGGAGGAACCGTGGATCGGGGAGGCGGGGGTGCGGATTCCGCCGCCGACGAGAGCGCCACTGGGCCAGACTGCTCTTCGGTGCGCGGCTCGCCGATCGCTGCACGCCGTGCGGCAGTGGCGGCCCGCGCGTGCGAGCGTGGCCCCGAGGCGCCCCCCCCAAAGCCGCGCACCAGAGGCAACTGCCGAGAGGGGCACGTCTTACGCGACGCCGACCTTGATCCTCATGACGCCCTGCTCGTCGCCGGCGTAGGCGTCGATGATCGCGATCTGGGCCTTGTCCCCGCCGAGCGCCGAGAACGTGTGGGAGGCGAAGGTGGCGGACATGGTGCCTGGAAGAATGGAGCACGACATTCCACATAGACTTCCCGACTCAGACGTCTGACGCTGTGCTTTTGCTGGGATGCGTGGGTCCCAAAATCTCCCGACCTATTCCCAGGGGCACCTGCCTTACTTCGAGCCTGCTGTCGACGGCCCAGACGCCCGAATCCCTGCCTCTGGCAATGAAACACGGAGAGACGCAACCGCCGCCCCGACTCTCTTCCGGCGTCGGCTCTCCGGGGACAAAGCGCGGCAGGGGCACAAACTTTCGGAGGTCCGCGCGGATAACTCCTGGGGCCTGCGCCGGACCCCCTCCCAGCAGAGCTCATAGTCGAATCGATAAATCGGATCGGCGGTCAAAACGAATGGGATCGGCGGACACAGGCAGCTACGTCGGGGGGAGTCGAATCGGCGGACATCAGCAGGCTGGTAACTAGGCCTCCGTCGAGAAATCGGAGTCCAAATCGGAATCGTAGGTCGAATCGGATCGGAATCGGAAGCCATCGAAACCGAACCGAGTCGAGCCGGAGGAATCGAGGTGAGCCCTGCGCGCCAGGCCCCAGCGCGCGGAGCCGTGGGGAGGGGAGCCCGCGGCCGACCCGACAGACCCAGCGCGGACCTTCGAGCGCTTGTGTTTCTCCATCTTCTCGATGAGTCCTCCTCCTCCTCCTTCTCCTCCTCCTCCTCCTCCTCCTCCTCCTCCTCCTCCTCCTCTCCCTTCTCCTAGACTGCTCCTTCTCGTTGTTACCCCCTTCTCCTCTTCCTCCTCCCCCCCTCCTCCTTCTAGTCTGATTCTTCATAAGTTCCGTATTACTGTGACTCGTATTCGTCGTCTGCCCTCGCGGCGCAGCACGGAGGAGGGATGAGATCACCCCACAGGGTGCAGAGAAGCGCGGAGGAGGAATGTTAGTAGTTTCTTAGCCATGCTATTCTCATTACTGTGATTCGTGTTCGTCTTCTTTCGTCGCGACACAGCGCGTAGGAGGGATGATATCACCCCGCAGGACGCGGAGGAGCGCGGAGGAGGGAGACATCGCCCAACAGGAAGTTCTGCTCATGCTGCTTCTGTTTTCACGAAGTTGTACCGTTGCCCCTCTTCTTGAACGGGACCAGCACCAGCGAGGAGGCCACGAGCGGCAAGTGCGACGCGTGGAAGGTGCCGACGCTGAGCCCCCCGAGCCTGAAGTCGATGCGCTCTCCCTCCTGCAGTTCCAGCGACAGAAACTTGCACTGCTTGTACCGGAGGGGCTCCTCGGTCAGCTTGGCCCTCCTCAGGAGAAGAACCGGAGCCGGGGATCTACTGACCCGGGTCAATCCAGACCCAGGTCAATCAGGATCTGCAGGATGCTGCAGGCTCCTGCAAGATCCCGCACCCCAACCCAAATCAATGCAACCCTGGCTCTGCAGGATCCTGCAAAACCCGGCGCTCTGGCTGACCCCTGCTTGCAGTGACTCCCGTCCCAAGGTTCCCGACAGAGAGGCAGACATGGAGATCTGGAGATCCAGGGAGGATTTCTTGGATCTGCGCTGGTCCCCTCAGGCGGCGCCTCCAGCGCCGCCCCTGGCGCGTTCTGCGCGCCAGGGAGGGTGGTCCGGCTCCGATCCCAAAAAACATCTGCGCGGAGCTCCGAACATTTATTGTTATGCTGTTTTCTTGCGCGACTCCTGCTGACGGTGTAGATGCTGAGGGGTCTGCTCTCCGCGTACGCGTTGCAAATGGTCAGGTTGTGGAGGCCCTCGCCGACTTGCAGGCCCGTGGCGGCGGAGGCGATGATCAGAACGGTCAGGGCCCGGAGGGGTAACAATGCTGGCATGATATGCGATGCTGCGGCGCCCGAGTGTGGAGTGTGGGTCGGGAGGCAATTCCTGGAAGGTTTCCGCAAGAACAACTAAACACAACGAAGACAAACTAGAGAACCATTAAGCCGGACTAGCCCAGATCAGGCCTGGGATTCCGCCAGATGCGGGAGGATTAGCGACAGTACTCAGCTTGATTTTTGCCAGATCAGGCCAACCATCGACCACGGGGATACCAGCGCCGATGCTGAATGGATCCTCCCAGGACTTGCATCGTCGTGTACAGTGTATGATAATGTGGGTTGGGTGCGGGCGCGCGCCCGTGGCGGACGTGAGAGTGGGTGACCAGTACGCCTGTACCGATCTGCCAGGGCCCCGCGCGTGCGCGAAAGGCAGCGCGGTCTTGAGACCCCCCGAAAGACATGGATTCAAAGGACATGGGGGGGGGGGGGGGGGCGCGCGGGGGGGCGGGAAGCTGAAGAGGAGATGCGCGATGGATGAAACATTGGAGCAAGAGGGGGAGGAGGGAGGAGGGAGGATGAAGAGGAGGCGCGCGAAGGAGGAAACATGGGAGGCTTCCGAGGGTTCCGATAACGACGACGGGCTGCGTGAACGAGACACTCGGTCACTCAAAGATCGTCAGAAAAGACCCCTAGGGGTCACGGACGCGAGCAACTTGGAGAAGGCCTGTGAAGCCCAGTCCTTCGTTTCTCGTCATAAGACCCTTTTCCATTGGATACGGTACTGCAGTCTGAAGTGACGATGGTAAGTCACATAGCATCCGATTCCATGGGAAGCGGATGGCAAATAGCGTCCGGTATCGTACTGAGGTGGTTCAGTAAGAGAAATGGACGGATAAGATAGGATAAGATCGATGTAATGATCTTCCAGTACATAGCGAACACAAACAGTGTCCGGGCAAATAGGGCGCGCGCGCCTTGAGCCAAAGGCAACGGCGCGCGAGCTATACTCCCGATCCTATATAACATCTCCCAAAGAGCTACCCTTAAAGTCGGGAGAGGAGGAGACGGTGAGTATAGCCGCGCAGCCGTTAGGCTCTACAAAGGCCGCGCGCACGACTGTTTGCAAGAAAAACAGTGCGTACAGTCTGGCCTAACACCAGACTGTAAGGCGAGTTTCCTCGCAAAGCATTTCACGCAGATACGAGATAGCCCCTTGGACATCAAAGGGCTATCGGCCCGGCTAGAGGTAAGCCACACAGGCTATACCTCTCCGAGCAAACGGGTAGTAAGGCGAAGAGCCTGAATCAATCTGAACAGGCTCGTTACCAAGCCTGAAATGTAAGGCTCGTTTCCGAGCGCCTAGAAGAGCGCCTCTGTATTAGGCGACCATGCTGGCAAACTGGACCGCGGGGGGCAACAAGGACATACTAAAACTGATTAGACTTAGGCTTGTTTCTGTCCTCGGGACCCCGAAAGGGAACAAACTGCTTCACGTCATACTTAAATGACTGAGTGCCTGACATCACTTCCAAAAGCAGCTCCCGATCGACACTCCCTTTTGCATGCCCATCTGCGGTCATATCTCTAGTATCACACCACTGCACATTATGCACTATACCTATATCCATGAGCTCACGTATCCAGCTGATATGTCCCAGCAACGTCCATTCCGTCGGTATCTTAAGATCTTTGCTGGATAACGATTTGTATACAGACTCAGCATCTATGGTAAGGGATACTTTAATAGCTAGGCCTCCAACTTCACGCATATCTAGTAGTTGTCGTGGAGTCAGGGCCCCTGCCTTAAGCTCGCGGAGGGTGATGAGCGTAGGGTAGCACTCATCAAGGTTGTGTGCAGCTGCAAATGTTTCAGCGGCATAGCTGGACCTCACCTGCAGTCGATGTGATTTACATAGCCCGTCCCAAAGGTGAACGACGGATTTGCCTTGAGGCGAGTTTCCTCGCCGTAGTACGTTCGCCCCGCGTATGCCGTAGCCCTTGGTCTCATCGTCTTCCTCCCCGGTGAGCTTCCGATACCCCGAATCACTGTGTATATCAACTTCGCTCGTCGGTTTCATCCGAGGGAAGGTGATGCGTTCCGGGCTGCTGATCAGCTTTCGCGTCACAGCATTCAGTCGTCTGACTTGTAGGTTGGCGGGCTCTTGAATTTTCTGGAGAGAGACCACATGCACCATAGGCCCGACTTGAATAAGAAGGGCATAGGCGAGGGCTCCTCGCAGGCTGACAGACATGTCGGCGATGAGTTTGGTGGCTTTGGCGTCAGCCGCCGCTCCCGAGAGTTCGGGGTGTAGGATAGGACGTAGTTGTTTAATGTGCTCGTCCTGATCCATGATCACATCCCCTTGGTCATTCTTGGTGCAGCGAACGGCGCAGTTCGCATAGGAATGTTTATTGAGCTTGCATTTACCAAACACCTTTTCGACACGTTGTACATAGTCATCTACATTTTTCTCTAGGCCTGTCATGTTGATGTCGTCGACATGTTCTGCTGTTAACAGATATTGACTGAATTCAAACTCAGGATCATAACTTGTCGGTGTAAGGCCTATAGCTCGTGTGGTCGTACGAAGCTTGAGGGAGAACGCTCTTGGGGCGTCCTTTGTACCCGTCCCTGGCTTGAGGCACCTGAGGCAGCGTCGGCTTTCATCGTAAGAAGAGAAGCCGGGCAATGTACGAAGTACCTGGGCGCTTCCCGGTGGAAGAGCGAAGCAAACCATGCGAGTCTCCTCGCCGGTGGCATGAGCAAGTTCCTCATAGGTCAAACCCTTGAGCAACGCTTTATCGATATCCATGGATGCTAAGATCCATTCTGGATGGCATGCCGCCTCACTTGCCAGGAGCCTCTGGGACTGCCTTCGAGCAGTTCCTGAGAAGGTTTCCACATCGAACGCCTCCGCGTCCATAAACCCACGAAGGGCGAGTCTGAGACGGATGGTTTTAACGTTCTCGGTGCCTACCTTCACAAACTTCCACTTATATACATATCTGGATGTCATGATATTGGAAGCTTTATATAGGTCATACATGTCAAAGCACCGGTTATCAAGCCAGATCTTGAGTTCGGTGCACAAAGCTTCACTAACCTCTTTAGGGTGTGCTGCTATGTCGGCTTTGGTGAGTAGGTCGTCTTCCTTAACAACCACAGCACGTTTAGCAGCCGATGATACGTGCACTCTCATCGTTGCGACCATGTCAGTGTCGAGCTGTGCAAGTTGAGTCTGATCC